ACACCAAATACACCAAATAATGTTCTTTTTAGCAACATCATATGACCCCTTTAAGAGTTTTCCAAGCATCTGCTCACAGATACCCGGAAGTTCAGATGGGAGAGGCAAGCTCAAATACAACCCTCTAAGGTGAGGGGAGGACCTGAACTTTCGTGAAGGCCGCTGAGCGCACCTTTGCCTCCCTGAACTTCTCGACCACCGTCTCAACGGAGGTACCGAAAATACGGAAGGCGAAACCGGCTCATCGAGAAGAAAGCCCCTCTCTTTTTTCCATGGGAAGGCTCAGCCTCAGCTTCTTTGCCCTCCTCAGACATTTCCTGCTTTGGCTGGACTGAACCCAGCAGAGTACTGGCCGCTGGATCAGAAAATGTTAATGAAATAACATCATCCTCCAGTGGCTCACTCACGTCCACAGCCGACGATCGCGAGAGGGAAAACCCCTCTTTAAACTCATTGGACAGATCCACCTGCGATCCCCACGAGCTCATTCTCCTCCGTGCCTCAGCAGCGGCGGGTCCTAAATCGCGGGAAGCAGATGACTGCCCCTCTTTCCTCGAAAAGAGAGACAAACGAGAGTGGAGCTTTTTCCTTGCAAAAAAACGCTTGCAGTGCACGCCGATTGTCCCCTCGGAGACATCGCGTGCGTGCTCTTCGCCCGAACAAATAACGCATAGATCGTGTGTCATCAGACGTTAAACAACATCAACATGGATGCACACATCCTCTAAACGCTTTGCTAGTGCTCGCCATAATTATATGAATAGAGATTTCCACAGAAATGCACACTTCAAACAAAACAGTCAATGAAGACGAAGAAGAGGATGATGTGTTCTCCCGGCGCCTATTTATACTATAGTCGCACCGGTAGTGATGTCATGGCTGTCGCCGGCCAACGTCGAGTTGGTGTTTTTTCAATGTATGCTTCAGACACGGGTCACGACGAGGCGTTCCCCATAGCGACCCCTAGAGAACGCAGTTTGAAGTTCCCATGAAAGGGAACTAACTATTCATGCTTTACATAGATATACTGTATATTAAACAGCAGATATGGTTTGATTGGATATGATTTATTGCATTTTGCCTTGTTGACAGACAAGTGATGCCAAGTCTGCAACAAGTAGATTTGCTCTCTAGTCTTTGCACATTAGAAACCAGCTCCGACTATTCACAGATGCTTTGAGAGTCTAATTACCACTTCGTCGGTTTCTCACACTTGTTGCATGTCTAGCTGTTACCCATATACACAGAGATCAGTTTTGTGTTATAAAGTTCAGAATCTTTGCTGAAACACTGGTGACAGATCAGTATTTTAAGTCGGAGCATTCATATCAATATAATAAACATCTTTTACATGCACTTCAAAAGTTTGATTTCAGTCAAACTAAAGTCCAATTTTTGGACAAACAGACCAGTATAATGTGATTCATCCAGCATTAAGTTGTTTTGCAACAAGTATTTAAACCAAGAAATGTGCATGAAAACGTACTGGTTTGAGCATACTGTAAAATGAAAGTTAAAGTTATAAAAAACCTGACCTGACAGAAAGAAAACAATAAAAATAAAAACAAAAGGTAAAGGTGATTTAACTATTAAATAAACCTAGGACTATGCATGTAAACGTATTTGACTTTCATTCTACAGTGTGATCAGACCAGTAATTTGCACAACAAAGTATGAAACAAACACAGACCTGACAGAAAGATCCAGATCCACAACACGTGGAAGGTCTTCATCTTCATCAATACTCTTTTGAGCCTTCAGTCAGTTTAGAACTTTGAAGTTCAGCTGATTCTGTATTTGGTATCCCTCAAATACTGTCTGCTAAAAATGCAAGCGTTGTTTTAATACAAAGGAAGTCAGCATTGTTAAACGTGTATGATGATGATAGTGTCAAACTAATCACCCCATCTTTAATATACTGTAGATGACTTCCTCTTGTTTTAACACTTCATGTGTAGACATGCTAACCATTTCACACTGATCTGAGGTAAGTGTTGGTGCTTTCGTTCATGATTGGAATGAGTCTTTGCACATTAAGCAATCTGATCCTAAATCGGTGTGAAATGTTTTCTCAGTGTAACAGTGTACATGCTAAGTAAAATCCTTACTGCTAAAATAAGATACTGAGACATTCAACAGTCTGACAGCCAACAAATATATTTACACAATGAAAAACAAAAAAACAAACAAAAAGAAAAAACAGGTTCAGACATGAGGCCTTATACTTACACCAAACACACAGTTTGTAGTTCACAGTATTGTTTGAAGCATGTAAAAGTGTAACTTTTGGAAAATGCACATTGTCATAGGTTACTGTGTCTTCTGACCTTACTTGGTCCACAACCGTGAGCATGTATGCTAATGGCTGCATATGTAAATGACTGTTGTATAAGTGCTGCGGTTCATGTGCCTATTAAATTGTAGTTGGGTCTCTGTGATCTCCTTGTAATCACCAGCAGTCTGTTGAGCCAGTCATGATTTATTATAATGTGAACAAAGAAACAAACTGACTACCTTTATTTTATGTAAAATCACAAGTCAATTCACTATATAAGAGGATTTATGCCCATAAATAACGTGCTACACAAATAGTCCACTAGAGGACAGTCTCTCTCTCTCTCGCTCTCTCTCTCCCTCTCTGGTTCACCAGAGCTTCACAGGTTGCCACTGGAGTCCTCTTCCACTCCTCCATGACGACATCACGGAGCTGGTGCATGTTAGAGACCTTGCGCTCCTCCACCTTCCGTGTAAATATATAAATAAATAAATCCAATTGAGGTGTGAGTTTATGCATCATATATTTGAAAGAACCAACAACAACTTCAAATGCTTTGTAACCACGAGTATAGACCGTTCAGTTGAGCCTCGCACCTACTGCAGCTCTGGGGGATCTTAGGATGAACATAAATCGACCGGAACTATCCGTTTTACATGGTTTTTGGTACAGTAGTTTATTTTGTCCACTCATAAACTCTAGTTTTGCACGGACAGAATAGTGCAGACAGCATACATAGTGCTTTTATTAAGCAGAATGATGTGTATTAATGTTTTAATACACAAGCAATTGAACGTTTGAGATCATTAAAAACGTATGCAGTGAAATCTATAAAATGCTGGTGTGACTTCCTGGTCTCTTCCTGGACAAATGGGATATGGCACCATACAGTTTCTTGGTAATGTTACTTTTGACCTCTGTTATTGTCTCAGCAGTAACTTTGTAATTCTCAAACACCCTCTTTTAGTCGTGGAGCTGCCGTATTTCACCTCAATTATACATAATGATTTATTTGCACGGTTTTACAAAATACTGTTGCTTAAAGGTGTATTGTAAAAAAAATCATTTAAAACAGACAAATGAAGCCAAGCACATACTAATACTAATGTTTTAAACTGCAAAAAGAAGTTATGCACTTTTTTTAATTTTTATTCTGGGCACATTAGAGGCATTCTTCGACCTTTACGAGAGGCTAATGGCCATTTCCTCTGCTTCTCACACTTGTGTGTGTGTATGTGCTGTACATGTGGAAGAATTGACAATAAAGCAGACTTGAACTTGAACTTGAATATTGGGACAATTAATTAATAAATGTGCTTTTTGTTAACTATTTGTTTGCTAGAAGACGTCATTCACAGTAGATTTCATCTATATATTTTTGAATAGAATGCTGTGTATGCTCAGATGTGAGCATTTTTTTTAGTTCTGTATACTTTTCAAAGAATCAAATAAGCCAAATAAAAAAAAACAAAACTTGTAAATTCACATACTTTAAAGAGTTATAATACGTAGTAAGTGTTCTGTGTTTCTTACCTCAGTGGTATATGTGGTGCCTTGGATTTCAGCATCAACTTAAATTGGAAACACATTTATTTGACATTTTGTAGGCTATATTGTAATAATAATAAAAAAATTGCATTTGCACTTACCACTGGAACTGTGTGAGATTTTCTTGTGATTATTCCATATACAGAGAACCGCCCCAAATATAATCACCATCACAGTCAGACCGACGGCTGTGAACATCAGAGGACCTAAAACATACAGAGACAGGGGAAACATGACAGACTGTCTATGATGTTCATCATGGTTGTCAAAACAGTCACATTAACAGTTGCACATTGCAGTAATATCTCAATAGTTATCTCCTTAAATGAAAAACAGAATGAAAGCATCCTTAAAGAATGTGGTTTAGATAAAATGTTTTTTTTTTGCCTGACAGTTTTTTTTTTTAATGTTGTATTACATGCAAAGAGATGGCAGCTGGTGTTTGTTCATTTTGTTTTGTGGTGTGCAGAGAAATAATAATGAACTGTATACCTGAGGAGAGTGAAGATTGTGCACCGTTCTCATTAAATGCTTGTCTGGATGAAAGAACAGGACCTTTAAATCCTTTAAATGTAAAAGAGGAACAACATCATCCCATAATTTGTTTAGATGCATAGATAAATGCACATAATATCTCGATTAGCTCAGTGTTACCTGTTGATGAAGATGAGGCTGTGATGTCACCAGATGCTGAAGATGTAGAGAATGAACTTTTTGTTATGGGGGATTGAGAACTTGCTGCTGGTTTAGGAGTTGTGGGTCTGTTTGTGTTTGTGTCTGAGTCTATAATAGTAATTAACATGCAGATGAGTATTTTACACTTCCTTAAATCTACACCAAATACTATGCATCATTCTTACCTTTAGATACTCTCAGTCTGACTTTCTGATATGAGTCAAAACCAAATCTCTCCACTCCGCACCAGTAAATCCCAGAGTCTGACTCCTGTAGATCAGTGATGTTCACAGTGAAGGTTCCTTCTCCAGAATCCTTCAGTGTGTATCTTCCTCTAGGTGACTGGTCAGATTTCACTAAAATAGCTTTACTCTCTGTACATGGAGCTCTGCAGAAATACTTTATATTGGTTGAAGCCCAGCCGTGGGAACATGTAACTGTGACAGTTTTTCCACTGTGTCCATGTATCTCAGTTCCATCTGTGGCCAAAATCCCAATTCCTGCTGAATGAAATAAACAACAATGTATATAATACAGAAGGGCCATTTCAGTTGTTTTAAGAATATATTTTTAGATAAGTGTGTAGTTATACATAACATGGCAGCTTGTGTGTGCTAATCTAAAGGTGATCACACACCGCAGAGCCACGCCGCGCCATGTCTAGGACAACTCATGTATATCGCACACCGTACGCATTGCATTCAATTCAAGAAAGCAGTTCAAAACAGTTAATCTAATCACCAAACAGGCAAAAGTTCACTTCAAGAATGAACAAAATGCATGGCAAAAAATAAATAGTGAAGAAAATATAAAAAATAAGGCAACTTGATGCAGTAAGACTTTTGAGTTGTCTCAACAATTGCTTTTTAGTTCTTCTCAGTAAAGATACTTATTGTTGTCACAGCAACATAAAGAACAATTACTGTCGTTGAGGTAATATTTTGTTTCCTGGATGAAAAAAAAAAAAGATTTTGTGAAAAGTCACCACATTATCACTTTTTATGTGTATTTACGAATGACAAACATGGATTATTTCTTTATCCGTTTATTTCAGCTGTAAGCACGTAAGCAAATTGTAACAATTGTATCAAGAAAGTAGTGAAAAGTTATAGAAACCTTACTGAATTTAGACTAATATGTAGACAAGATTTGGAACAATCACCCTACATAACAAAGATATCCAGGATAAAGATATAAGTGGTGGAACATACTCTAGGCCTCAATACTTGACACACAAACCTCAAGAACGGCGGCAATCAACAAATGTAAAAAGAAACTCTTTACATCACAACACAACCAACAATAATGACAAAAAAACTACAAAAAAGTTTAAATGAAGTCAGCAAACAGCAAAACAACCCTGTAACCTCATTTATTCATGCTGCAATGCATGCTGGGAACACACAAAGCCTTAACATTTCAGCAATATGAAATTCTTTGTTCAGACAACAGTGTTTGACTAGTTGGGACAACATTTGGGATAATTCTGTTGGCCTGACAAGGCTTTTTATGTAGTTTCAAGAAAACTGCATTTGAGACTCAAAAGGTTTTGTAAACTGGAAAATATGCAGTCGCTTTTTTTACAGTATGGCATCGATGAGTTTGAAGTTCGGTGTGTGACAAAATGGAGCAAACTCTATAGCTCTCTATATAAAACATACACTAAAAAATGCTGGGTTAAATACAAACCAGTGCTGGGTAAAATAGGGACAAACCCAGCAATTGGGCTGTTTTGACCCAGCGGTTGGGTTAAATGTTTAACCCAACCTTCTGGGTAGTAACCCAACCGCTGGGTCAAAACAACCCAATTGCTGGGTTTGTCCCTATTTTACCCAGCACTGGTTTGTATTTAACCCAGCATTTTTTAGTGTATGTTTTATATAGAGAGCTATAGAGTTTGCTCCATTTTGTCACACACCGAACTTGTTACTACCCAGAAGGTTGGGTTAAACATTTAACCCAACCGCTGGGTCAAAACAGCCCAATTGCTGGGTTTGTCCCTATTTTACCCAGCACTGGGTTGTATTTAACCCAGCATTTTTTAGAGTGTACAGACTTTATTCAAGCCCCAGAAAGACAAATGCCTTGCTGAAAGATGCACAATACAATCTTCCAGCTTAGGAAATCATTATGTACATCAACAATAATTTTGGATAAATATAATGTAATTTTATGGAAAACTATGTGAGTGGCACGGCAGGATTTTGAACAGCGTCGCCGCAGACAGTCGCGAGTGGCGCCGCCGGTGTGCATACACTCATAGAAAACAATGTGTTCGATTTTAAAGACGCTGCTTATCCCGTCCGGTGTGTGACCAACTTAACAGTCTGCTGGGATAGTGTTCTGTCAATATTATAGTTGTTACCGTCACATTTTATGGTTTTCTGTATTGCAGTTTTTGTCTACTTGTTGACTGTCTAGTTTTGCACAGACGGAATATGAGGACAGCATGCACAGTATAGCACCTATTATTAAGCAAAATCATGTATATCAAAATACTTAAGCAATTGAAAGTTTGAGTACATCAGTGAAATTGAAATATGAGCATAATCAAATTTGATGAGACTAGCTGCACCATGTTATACTCTAGTTACTCCCCATGTTACACTCTTCCTCTTCCTGGACTTAAGAGAAATGGCACCATACATTTGCTTAGTAATGTTGTATTGTGACAAACTATGACCTCTGTTTGTTGTTGTCTCAGCAGCAAATATGTAATTCTCAAAAACATACAGAATGATTCTCTTAGACTGTGCAGAGACAGTTTGTCTGCTCAAATTTTGGCAACAGATTGTAGCAGTAGCTGTAAATCTGATTTAGGTTGCATCAACATGACTTTTGGTTCCCTCTGTTTACATGTTCAGAATGATCCGCTTCATCTCATGATTCATTTGGCACATGTACATGTCATGAGGAGGAAACTGGTTGCTTATTGACTTCTTTAATTGAACACTGATGAGGCATAACAAAGACCATCAATCCAGTAACTGATCATTTTTAAGTAGAGGAATAAATGCATCCTGAAGACAAGTTACTAAACATGACAAAACAGCAATGTAAATGCAGAGAGAACTCACCAGACAGACAAATCCAGATCACAAAATTATAGAAGAACTTCATTGTTAATGTGTAAACCTTGTTATATTCCACTGTAGACCACTTTGCATCAGTGCTTCCTAGTTCTTATTCACTACTTGCCTTGAGCCTCAATGGCTCTTACTGGTGTGCAAAGCCTTTGTCACATTGAGGAACTCAAAGTTAAAAATGCTTTTCTCAATATTTACAGCAAAACACCCATACATATATATTTGCACAGCATCTACTTCCTTTAACATATGATGTATGTAGACAAGCCTTTTCTCACATATCTGAGATCTGTGTCTGTGCTTCCTGTGACAATTGCTTGCGAATGAGATGTGACCTGAGCTGTCCGATTCTAGATCAGTGAGAAATAGTGGGATGTGCATTGATGTCACAGAGTCTGTAGACCACAGATGAGAACAAGCTTAGAAAGAGTACAAATAACTTGTGATTTTAGCATGCTTGCAAATTAATAGCTACACCATCTGCCTGCAAAGAGCATCTTTCTCGACAGCCATTCAGAAATACCAGCATGTTAGCTAAATGTTTTACAAGCAACATTTAAATAGTTAATATTTCATGTTATTATAGTAGATGTTTTGGAGGTTCATAAAAGTGAGAAATGGACTTCTGCTTTTCCCTGTCTGTTGCATTTGACAACACAGCTCGGGTCACAAGGATTTGAATTCTTGCGACGCCATCATGTTCTCATTTCTTGCAGCTCTATAGCCATAAGTTACATGGCATTTAGGTTCACGTGGTTGACTGGTAATGACGTGAGCTGTGCGTCATGCTTAGAAACTTAAATTTGCATGTGTGTGGTCAAAGGCCTTGCGCATTTTAGATAAACCTAATGACCACATCCTCAGATCTGAGAACAGTTTATGGTGATTGTCAGTTGCAACTCTGAAGTTGCTTCTAGATCAGTCTGAAAGCGAGGCTTTTACTGGGTGGCTTTCCTGCCAAGCGCAAACACTACAGATCAGTAATGCTTCTCAAATCATTCACAGCATGGCCTGCCGGTACAATAGTGAAACTCACAGGCCCCTAACATAACAGTTTTGTGATCAGGTCACAGTCAAATAGTCCTTCACCACATTAAAAACCCAAAATGCATTGTAGTTAGACACTGAAACGGCATTCAGAGGAGGTCAATCAGTCTTTCTCTTCTTGCGCAAGTCAGGAAACAGTCTAGATAGGCCAAGAGAAATTAATACACTCAAAACAGTAAATGCATTTTTAAATCACCAGCTCTTGCTTTCCTTTTATTTAATTGAATGAGAAGTGTTACTCTAGTTGCATTTTCCAACTTGTTGTCAAACAAGACAAGCCTTTATTGGCATGTAAAGAATGCTCGACATGTTCCTGAAGTTATGTAAATGATGTTTGGTAGAAGCACAGTGGTAAAAAGCCACTGTTTTGTTTATGTAAGTTTGGGTTTTATAGAGGACAAAATGCAAGTGCATCTTCCTAGGAGTTTGTAGATGTGTTTAGCTTGCTAAACAGCAGTTAATTTGCTATACAGCAGTGGACGGAGGACGGTGGACGGTGGACACTGGTTTCTTTTTAAAGAATCGCCAATGCAAAGCAAAATGAACATCATCCTTCATTTGACTGGTAAGTAATCTCTCCTGCCTCATGTTACTATACTAATCCTAAACATAGATGTTCATGTAAGAATATCTGCCTGATGAGGGCTTGTGAGAACATGCAAAATGAGCAAAACTTGTCTGAGCTGATAGCCTTGTTACGCTTTGAGCGAATCAAATTGGAGTCCCCGGTTGTGCTCCGAATAAAAACACCATTTTTTATTATTATTTTTTATTTTTGTACATGAGAATAATGGTTAGTTATTGTAGAAATTAATTGGCAGGTGTAACAAAACAACTCATGACATAGTCTTGTGCACTTTAGCAAGAATTAGCTTTTTTTTTGTTCTCTATGAACTTTCCAGTAGTAAATTTTACTGCACTGTAAAAAATGTTATGTAATTTTATCTGTGAAATATTGTAAAAACGCTATGGAAAAAACTGTTAATAGGTTATCAGTAAGTTCCTGTACTATATACAGGGGGAAACTGTATAAGATCTAACCAGTCATTTCATGTAATTTTACAGTAAAATACTATTAATTTTACAGATTTTACAGAGTGTAGTAATTCTCTAGTGATCAAAGACATACTGTGATGTAGAAGTGATTATACAATAACTGATGGATTTATCTCTAGTGCTGCTGCTGCTGATTATCATAAGTAATGTAGCCATCGACAAATCACAAGGACACCAGTACTGTTCTCCTCTGGCGAACACAAGCTACTGCGCAAATTCTTCCAGTTACGTGGACTGTCATGGACAAAATGTCTCTTGCAAGGCCTATTCCTGCATCCCTCAGAGTCCCGGCTGCTCCTGCATGATCGGATCCTACGACTGCAGCAGCAACTGCAGCTATGAAGCTTCTCCAGATCTCTGTATTTGCAGTGCAGATACTTGCCTCTGCCTGAACGGTGTGTACAGTACTGTCCTCAAATGCTGCCCTTGTGTGTCATATGCCGTTTTTATTCAAGATTTATCCCAATTCTTTCCTTCCAGATACGATGAATACTTCAAACAGCATAAGTGGGAATGTGGGAATGAGTTTCTACAAGATTATTGTTACTCTATAAATGTTATAAAATCATTATTAAAAAAGTATTGATTTCTCTTTTATCCTTTTTTTTTTTAATTCAATTAAATTAAATTCTATTTTTATTTATCTGGAGCAGCTCACTGCAGAAAACATAGTGAATTTTGTTGACCAGATCGCAAATATGGCAGGTCTGATGTAAAAACCCCCCCCCCCCCCAGTTTGAATTGTTTATTTTTCTATCATAATAGTTGTTTCTTTAATGTTTTCTTTTATATTTTATTTCACTAATTAAGATTTTTTTTTTAAATGCATCGTCTCAAAATACTTGAGTTATAACTTCAAATCATTATTTAAATGAAAATATTTTACACAAACATTAAGTAGTTTAACACTGTAACAAAGTTACGGTTTGCGGTTTGTCATTGTATTTTGAGAATGACCCATAGATTCGATATTACCCTTTTGTCATAGAAATCATTTGCATTCTACAGAAGTCTCTCTTTTGGTATTTGATTAGGTGGCAGAAAACTATTTGAAGCTTGTTGATGCCACCCAGGTAAAGGTTTCAGAGTTGGTCGGCGCTGAAGATAAAAGTAACTTGGTGTCATATGGAAACACTTATCTGAAGGCCTTTGAGAGCCTGGTGTCTGCACTAGTGACACCAACAGAAACTCACAACTGGCTGAATATTAGTCTCAACAATACAGGTAAAAGGCCTTGTTTGTATTTGTGTTTTTGACATGTTCTGGGATCAGTCACACTGTGAGTCATAGTCAAATAAGTTCTTCTAAAGATTTTTTAAAAATGTTTTTCTTTAGTAAGCATTGTCCAAAAGGGGATTTTGCTGGGATGCTGTAGAACACTATTTTTGGCTTCCTAAAAAAACCTTTAATTGAACAATTTGTTCTAGGGTTAGGAACATTTTCCCCACTTTAAAGAACCTATTGTGGAATGGAAAGGTTAAAAGGATTTTGAAGGTTTTTAATGGAAGCTTTGATGCCAATAAAGAACTCTTTCTTTTTTAAAAATGTTCTTTGTGAAATAGGGCTGGGCGATACATCAAATATCAGCAGCATCTTTACTGACGATATAAAATTAGGGAATATTGTGTATAATGTGATACTGTTAAAAATGTAGCTTATAAAGACAGTAGCCAATTTCACTCATGTCTCACAACTGTGACAGCTGATAGGCACTGCTTTCAAAAGGCCCTGTGTGCATATGTGTGAACGCTTCGTGAAGAGCATCTGACACGTGCACACGCACAGAAAGCCGCTTCAGAGTTCTCTTTAGCATTTCAACAGACAAAAACACACAAAATTGTCAAAATGCCCATTTTCATCGAGTGACCTCGTAACCACTGTCTTAACCGAGTGTAAAGACCCTAAAAAACATGTATTCAGTTTATAGTTTATGCATATACTGTACATTTCATAGTTTATGTGAAGATTGTTTTAAGTTCACTTAAATTAAAAGTTGTTATTTTTCAAAGCCTGTTAAATATTAAAATAATGGGTGTCAATTATACTGCAATGTTGAATGCCTATAATTAATGGCTTAAATTGAAGGAAAAACGCACACTGTAAAATCTAATTAGTTGGGCTTACTTAAAAAAAGCATGCAAACCGATTGCCTTGAAAAAACTAAGTAAAGTGAAATAGGAATAGTATGTTGTACTGACAAATGCTTAGTTAGTATAGTTTACTTACACGAGAGTTCTAGTAACTAAAAAAGAACTGTAGGGGGTACTTGATCCTTTCATGTAGGTTTACTCATGACTTAGTATAGCTACTCACTGACTCCCAGAATGCATTGTGGCATGAATAAATTATACAGTTGCTTTGTTTTACAGTTGTTGATTTTATTTGACAATTTTATTTGCTGTCTTGTGTCAGTAGTAGCACATCAAAAAGAGCAAATAAAATGGTTATTGTTACAAGTAATGAAAATAAATGAAACTGAACTGTTACCATTGTTGTGATTCGCGTGCTGAATGTTTAAGTCTGTGTGTGACTTTAGCATATTATCACACATTATTTAAGGATTATATAAACCCAAATAAAAGCATATCATGGTATTTATGAAAAATTAAATTTGATATTTGAATATTTGACTTGAATATTTTAAGTAAGTGTCACTCAAAGCAGTAAGTAAATTGTTTTAGTTGCCTTGAAAGTAGCTGTAACTTAATCAAACCTAGTAAGTATAACAACTAAGTAAAGGTAACTAAATCTAAGTAAGGTAAACTATTGGATTTTACAGTGCATTTAATAGAGACATCAGTAGTTGTATTGGTGTCAATCACACTGGCCTTCATTAATAGGACTACTTAGTAAATTAAAGATTAAAGAAAAGCACTGTTTGAAGGGTTACCTGATTCAAACGGCATCAGAGAACTTCAAAACCATCAAACCCAACAATATAAATAGTGATTACAATCACTGGGCTTTCATAAAAAAGATAAATATTGTTAATAATTTACTATAGCATAGTCTTGTTTTGTGCTTAATCAGAGGTTGAAGTCTTCATGGTTGGACCACAGGTCACCATAGAGAAAATCCCTCGACTCGGCACGACAAATTCTTCTGTGGACATCGATCTCATAGGGATCGCCAAGAACAACAATGAAACAAGTATGTGAAATGTTATAGTGTGATTAAAAAAAAAAAATCTAAAATAAAAATTGACAATATATCTGCTAAACCACATTTACTTATTTTCTTTATTGTTGTTGTTTTAACATAGTATTGCTTTTCTGTTTCTGTCTCACAGGATCAGCTGCTGTGGCTTTCATGAGCTACAACACGATGGAGAATCTACTGAAGCCAGACTTCTTCAACACATCAAAAGACACGGTTAAAACCATGATGTCCACTGTGATCTCAGCTACTCTTCCCAAAACCACCAACACTGAACTCACCAAACCAGTCAACTTCACCCTCAAACACATCAGAGTGAGAGACTGAAATGTGCTTTTGTTTTATCAGAGCACTGATGAACATCTGAAAACATCTAATATTGTGTTTTAATATTTTCTTCTTGTTTTTGCAGGAGTTTGATCCCAGCGGTTCCCTGTTCTGTGTGTACTGGAATATCAGCGAGTGGATTGTAGATGGTTGTTCTGTTTTAAAGACCAACAGCAGCTACACTGTGTGTTCCTGTGATCATCTGTCCACATTCGCTCTCATCATGCAAACCAGCCACCCACCAGAGGTACAGAACATTTCCAGTGAACACTGCAGAACAGCACAGATTTGGCACTCATGAACTCTGACATGTTTTCTCAGAGCGACCCACTGCTGGATCTGTTGAATTTGGTGTGTGTGATTGTGGGGCTGGTGTTCTTCACTTTGGCCCTGTTGACCTTTGCCCTTTGTCAGTGGAGTCCTGGAGTGAATAATGTGGCTCGAATCAACATCTGCATCAGTCTTCTGTTGGCTCACCTTCTGTTTCTGCTCACACAGCAGTTCCTGAGCCTCATACGGCGTCAGCAGGTGAGAATGATGAAGGAGCCCTACAGCTCAGAACAGCCTCACTGAGAATCATCATAACCGTCTCTCATGGTCTCCAGGTGCTGTGTGCCGTGATCTCAGGCCTTCTGCACTTCTTCTTTCTCTCTGGCTTTGTGTGGATGTTCATTGAAGCTGTGCTGCTCTTCATCTGTGTGAAGAACCTATCACAGATCAGCTCCAAAAAGAGGGAGGTGCTTAGCAGTGGATTCCTGTGTGTGATTGGATATGTGGTTGCTCTGGTTGTGGTGTGTGTGTCTGTCGGTCTGGTTCCTGAAGGCTACGGCAGCGAACAGTGAGTTGTTGTTGTTTTTAAGGTCATTTGTTTAGAAGGAAGTAAAGCGCTTAGAACAGTTTTCTGCTATCTGATGAAACACATTTTTTGACACAGGCTATATTAAAGGCATGCTAAAGGCAAATCTGATTTCAACAGTCAACATATGAAATAGCATTATTTGATTAATTCAGTTATTTGTTTTCCTCTAAACAGTTGCTGGCTTAAACATGATAAAGGTTTTATCTGGAGTTTTCTGGGTCCTGTTTGTGTCATACTAGCAGTAAGTTATAAATATTAACATTTTTCACATGGGCTGTTGAAGCCAAAAAAATAATTGGATAATTTCTTCTTTTTCTGCAGTTAAACACAATTTTCTTCATCAAGATCGTCATCACTCTGAACTCAACTCTCAAAAAACTGAATGCTGAAGTTTCACAGATGAAACAAACCAAGTAACAAACATTATGATCAAAACACTCTATAAATAAAGAACATATAGTCAATGAAGACACATTAACTTTCTTTCTTTCTTTCTTTCTTTCTTTCTTTCTTTCTCTCTCTCTCTCTCTCTTTCTTTCTTTCTTTCTTTCTCTCTTTGCAGGATCATGGTGTTTAAAACACTGGCTCAGTGTGTGGTTCTTGGTTGCTCCTGGATTCTGGGTTTCTTCACTAATGGCAGTAAGGTGCTGGAGATCCTCTTCCTGATCTTGAACTCCCAGCAGGGAACCTTCATCTTCCTGATCTACTGTGTCTTCAATAATGAGGTCAGACTTTTTTCTATCCATACTCTATGAACAAACCAATAAACCTCCAGACACAGTGGCAGTACAGTAGTTTCTTACCTGTTTATTATAAACAAACTCCATTCTGGTTCATGAGTTTCAGAGGTTAAATGAAGTCACTCAGCTCCTCTCGTCTCATTCTTGTCCAGGTCAGGCAGCAGTACAGGAAGTTCTTCAGATGTCTTTGCTGTGGACGCAAACAACACTGAGGAGTACAGCATCAGGTTCAGTAATAGATACTGCTCAAGTTCCATTATAATGCATGTGATGTCATTCTTACAGTACAATTTACTGTTTAGTAATTTGGGTTTTGACCAGGCCAGGACTCCTTCTTTAAGTCCTTAAGCATTTTTAAGGATGTATAAATCTTAATGAATTACTCCAGATCACTTGTAGATCAACACCAGTTTCAGATGTCATATTTTTGGTTCATTCTTACAGTAAAATACAGAATCAATGTTTTAGATGTTAACTAGTTTCAGCTCCTTTCTGTAGATGGTAATGTTACAAAACTTTTGATATTACAGTTGTAAATAGTATTGATGTAGAACATATAAATCGTTTTTAAACACACAAGATTTTCTTGGTGGTGGGAGAAAAGCATATTTTTACAGAATCCACAAAATGTTCCGATAAATGCTGGCAAACTAAAATACCCTCCTGAAAACTATTTCATGTGTGCATGGTGAAGGGAAATAACATGACTTTACACTTTACAGTTTAAGTAAACATTTTACATATATTTTAAATATGAGGCTTGTGTCAAATAGTTAATACATTTATTAATCTTGCACACTTATATTTTTGTTTGCTTTCTTTCTTTCTTTCTTTCTTTCTCTCTCTCTCTCTCTCTTTCTTTCTTTCTTTCTTTCTCTCTTTGCAGGATCATGGTGTTTAAAACACTGGCTCAGTGTGTGGTTCTTGGTTGCTCCTGGATTCTGGGTTTCTTCACTAATGGCAGTAAGGTGCTGGAGATCCTCTTCCTGATCTTGAACTCCCAGCAGGGAACCTTCATCTTCCTGATCTACTGTGTCTTCAATAATGAGGTCAGACTTTTTTCTATCCATACTCTATGAACAAACCAATAAACCTCCAGACACAGTGGCAGTACAGTAGTTTCTTACCTGTTTATTATAAACAAACTCCATTCTGGTTCATGAGTTTCAGAGGTTAAATGAAGTCACTCAGCTCCTCTCGTCTCATTCTTGTCCAGGTCAGGCAGCAGTACAGGAAGTTCTTCAGATGTCTTTGCTGTGGACGCAAACAACACTGAGGAGTACAGCATCAGGTTCAGTAATAGATACTGCTCAAGTTCCATTATAATGCATGTGATGTCATTCTTACAGTACAATTTACTGTTTAGTAATTTGGGTTTTGACCAGGCCAGGACTCCTTCTTTAAGTCCTTAAGCATTTTTAAGGATGTATAAATCTTAATGAATTACTCCAGATCACTTGTAGATCAACACCAGTTTCAGATGTCATATTTTTGGTTCATTCTTACAGTAAAATACAGAATCAATGTTTTAGATGTTAACTAGTTTCAGCTCCTTTCTGTAGATGGTAATGTTACAAAACTTTTGATATTACAGTTGTAAATAGTATTGATGTAGAACATATAAATCGTTTTTAAACACACAAGATTTTCTTGGTGGTGGGAGAAAAGCATATTTTTACAGAATCCACAAAATGTTCCGATAAATGCTGGCAAACTAAAATACCCTCCTGAAAACTATTTCATGTGTGCATGGTGAAGGGAAATAACATGACTTTACACTTTACAGTTTAAGTAAACATTTTACATATATTTTAAATATGAGGCTTGTGTCAAATAGTTAATACATTTATTAATCTTGCACACTTATATTTTTGTTTGTGGTTAGAATATTTTTATTATTTTTTATTATTATATTTTTATTAATACTTTTTATATATTCATATGGCAAGATATATTTTCAGAATGGAGTGTCAAAGCTTTTATAGGTGTAGTGGATTTACCTTTATAAATAAACTATTAAAGTAAAGGAACAGCTGATGTGTCAGATTTAAAGTGAATCTGTATTGTCATATGGCTTGTATTTTTGTAATAAAAGATGTGAATGATGATTGATATTTGCTTTCACTCAGGTTTTCATTATTTAAATGATTTTTTTTTGTTACAAAGTTTTGTCTTAATAAACAGTGTCATATAATAATTGTATTTGTGAACATGTTTTTTTTTCCACATTCCCCAGAAGACTAAAAAAGCTCCATATATTTAGACTGATTCTAATTTGAGAGGAATATCCTAGTTTGAAATATGAAATTCTATCTTCTGCAATATAACTTTTTAAAGTGTAGCTGTCATATGCAGTTTTGGTTTCACTTTGTTTCATGGATTTCTAGTTTGTCTTTGTTTTTTGTGCTTCATTGGTTGTCATGATTATTCATTGATTTCACACACCTGTTTATTAGGTCTCTGTATATTCAATTCATTGCCTGGTGTTGTTTGTGTCTTGCACAGTTTCATTGACACATGTATGTGGATATCTCTTATTTATTTTGGTTTAATAAAGTTAGACTCCTGTATTTTTGGTATGCCTGGTCTCTCGGTCCATTGGACTCCAACTGCGTCTCCACATCTCCCAGCATCACTGCCATCGGTTGGGCTCAGAACTTTGCCATGGCTCCTTCCTCCATGGGTTTTGCTGTGGGTCACCATCCTCCTGGCTGTCTTTTGTGTTGCTCTGGGTTGTCTTCTGCTGCCAGCTCCTCCGTGGCTCCTTCCAGCCAAGGTGAGTATTTTTCTTTTCTTTAAAGATTGGTTCTCATTGACCTAAAAACCGCTATGACGTGACATGGTCCCTTGTGTTGTTTCCTGATATAGCGGAAAGCTCTAGTAATACAAGTAATACATCGATCAAAACTGTAAAGAGTATTTGTGAACATCCATTAATAACAAAATGTTGCAAAGCTCTTTTGTAAAATAATGAAAACAAATAGGATCCCTACCAATATCCAACAACTACCAAATTGTCCCTAACAATAATTGTGATCAAACAATTAAATATATGTATATGTTTTTGTAATTTTGGATGCATCTGAAGTATGTCATACCATTGATATTACCTAAGAAGTTAAAGTAGCCTAAATTCGCTACAAAATCCGGTTACTTGCGTAACCTCGGTGCCCTACGTAAGGGAATGAGCTTTGCATTAGCGTTTTGATGCTAGGGGAAACTCCTGTTTACTCTGTTACTGATGCCTGATTTGTTTGTGTATGTTTGTGTAGCTGTGTATGTTTGTGTATGTTTGTTTAGCTGCACAAACCAATGGGGCTCTAGCCCGCCAGAAGGGGAGGAGCCGACTGCTACATGAGTCTGCTCAGAGCGCCATTTCATCAGAAACTTTCGACTGAAGCGACAGTCATCAATTCGCATGCAGCCTTATAGCATGGCAACTTACGCAACGCTCGTTCCCTTATCTCAGGGAACCGAGGTTACCCAAGTAACTGGAGTGTTCCCTATCGAATGGTCTCTCCCATTGCGTCAGCTTTTTGACACTAGGGGAACGCATCCAATAGCGCCGTGCTATAAGCAGGTGCAGAATGAAGCCACTCTGCAAGCTCAGCCCGTTAGCTCTCGACTGAGGGCTCCGGTAAGCATAAGCATAAGCATAAGCATAAGCATGTAGTGAGACCCGAGCCACAAGGCTGAAGGCTACATAACATGGCCTTATCCACTTGCAAAGGGGATTAGGCAGAATTAAGCAGACAAAATCCGTGCCTGCATGGCAGGGAACGTCCAATTTATAAAATCTAGCAAAGGTAGACTGCAACGACCAGCCGGCGGCCACACAAATCTCACCAATGGAAATCCTGCTAGACCACGACCAAGAGGAGGCCATCCCTCAAGTGGAGTGGGCCCTTATCCCTAGAGGGCACTGCGAGCCTGTTGATGTGTAAGCCAAGGCTATAGCATCTACTATCCAGCGAGACAGGCAGCCCTTAAGAGCGGCCTCCAAAGCAAACAAAGTGCTTCTCTGAGTGTCTGAAGAGGCCAGAGCACTTTACATACACCCTCAGAGCCCGAACTGGGCAGAGTGGATTGGGATCCTACTCTCCATCTGCAGCAGGGAGTGCTAGAAGGGTGTAACAAAGTTCGTAGCTACGGGAAGGAGGAGGCAGGAACTGGCGAATATTTAAACACAAAACTTTAATAATCGAATAAACAAACACAAAGCGAAAGTAAAGCGGCAGCCCCTCATGGATGACTGCCACATAAAATGTATAAAACAACAACATAAATAGTCAAGGCCTGGTCCTCTCTCATCCTTCACTGTCATCCCTCCTCCTTTTAACCTTCCGGAGCTCCTCCGTGGGACTCGAGACGAGTGAGTGGTGCAGGTGTCACTCATTATCATTTACTCCACCAGCCCCGCCCCACTTGTCACAAAGAGTAATAACTTGAGCTCTAAATGGAGTCTCGGTTTGGAGATGACTCGACAGTCGTTAGGCCCAAACTCAAGAAGACAGGAAGCACTAACTGACAGTGCTAACCGATGCTAAAGCCAAAAGGAGGGCGGTCTTAAGCGACATGGGCCACAAGTCGGCCGACTGGAGCAGCTCAAAGGGAGGGCCCGTAGGGCTCTGAGAACTATAGACAAGTTCCAAGTCAGCACAGTGTGAGAATGAGATGGGTTCAATCACCGAGCTCCCCTTCAGAAATTTAAAGACTAGGTCGTTTCTGTCGACTGATTGTCCAGCCACGAGAGAATGATTGGCCACAATGGCTGCCACATAGACTATGAGTGTGGACGGGGTGCGACCCTTATCCAACAACTCTTGTAGAAAGGTTAGCACGTGGGACACGTCACAAAAGGTCCAGGCTGCGTGCTGTGCACCAATCATTAAAGAGTGACCATTTAAGGGCATAAAAGCGTCTTGTGTCACAGGTAGCTACAAAGTGTCCCGTAGAGGGGCCAAACATAAACAAGTAAGCGCTGGACCAATCATGGACCAGGGCATCTCGCTGTCTCGAGAAATAAATTGGGCAGTGAAAGTTGTCTTCTGAGGTTAGAGGTCCACCTCTGTCCTCCGGAAGACAGACCAATCGTTTGAACCATATGAGGATGTAGTCTCTATTCTCCTGGAGATACATTGTCTCTAGACAGCATGTCTGCCCAGTGGACATTATTCATCTAAACGGCAATGACCAAGCTAAGACGAGATTCTCCACAGCCTGGTGAGAATGT